GGCGTGAGGGGCCACGGCCTCGCTGCTGCCGCCTGCCTCAGCCCCAGCAGCACCGCCCGTGTCTCCTTACACCGCCGCCGGGCAGCGCTGTCTTCACACAGCTCGGTCAGCGCGGGGAGACCCCCAACGCCAGCCTTGCGCCATTCCTGCCCACCGCAAAACCATCCCACGGGAGGAGGGGCGAGGAATCCAAACGTACAAGCGGCGCAGGAAACAAGGGTGGCAGCAGCTCCCTTCCTCAGGGGCCCCCAAGGAGTGGAGCGGTGCCTGGCAACCCTGGGGCAGCGACACCAACAGCCTCGCAGCACCCGAACCCTTGGAACGGTACCTACGTAGGTACCACCTGAGAAGCCAGGCCGCAAGCCAGGCAGGATGCTAGCATGGCAGAAAGGCACTCCCCAAACACACGGAGCGTGCACGCGACGCAGCCGGGTATTTCACACACACCCTAACACCACACACCGAAAGGCACACGGACAGAGGGCCGCGGCCAAGAGCCTTCAGCTCCTGTCCGGAGGCGTCCTGGATCCCTGGCTGACAGGGGCAGAGCTCAGCCCCAGGGACTTCAGTCCTGCATGACGCTGGGTTTGGGTGCTGCTGCCTTGTGTCACCACTCGCCCTGCAGACACAGCTCTCAAATCCACAATGAAGTAGCAGGAGGCCATATTTTATTTCCCTCTTGACCCCAGGTAGCCTTGGAGCAAATTAGACAGGTGAGAAAACATGGGACGTGGGATAAGAGAAGCGAGGAGCAAGTATTTATTTCCCAGAAAAGTGAGAAATTATGTAGTTCAGCTATCAGAGGCCAAAGTCCAGATAAATTGTAATTACTTCTCATGTTTATTTGTTAGTTTTGATTTATTTACATTATTATTATTATCTCATTTTACCAATTTTTTTTTATTATGCTGAAAGTCTTTTCATCCCAGGATCATGAGGTGGTAGGTGTAGCCAGGAGGAGGCTGCCTGCCAGCAGCACAGCAACATTTGTTGTTACTGCAGCTATGGATAAAAATAAAAACCCAATGCTACAAGCCAGTCGATACAGAAACAGTTAATGAGAAGTGAGTTACTGTGTTTCACTAACAGCAAATACAAGTTTCATGCACTGGCACACAAAACCCCACGGAGGAGGAGGACAGCTGCAAGTGTCTTGATGGAGACTGCACCCAACTGAAGATCACAGGGCAGATGACAAACAGGGAGAGCACTGGTTGTGGAAAGCCAACAAGCTCAGTGAATGTATGCATTTGGCTTCATTCCTTCCTCTACCAGCGGGGTAAGTCTTCCCCCCAAGTCTCTCTGGCCTTCTGTTTTTGTTCACTGACTTGGCAATTCTCCCTACTTTCTTCTACTGGAAGGTGCAGGACCTCACCCCTGGCAGACGCCGTGTTCTGGACTGCAGGACACATCTCTGCCCACAGCCTGCCCATCCTCTGTGCACTTACCTCTTCCGGAAGCAGAGCTCAGGAGAAACTGTTGTTCCCAGCAAGGGTGTCACGGGATAAGCAGGGATGTAGGAGTCTGAAGGTAACCAGCCAGGAGGCCAGAAAGGATTCACTAGACAACATTTTTGACACTGCCTTCCAAGATGCGGAAATTCTCCTACTGGGCCAGAAACCCAGCATCCATCTAACAGCAGCTGGGAATCCTCCAGCCCAGGGCAGTTCAACGACGGCAAAGATGCTCCAGTTTCAGACTGGTCTTGTAAGCCATGCTGACGCTGTACTGCTGGCTTCTGCCCCAGGTTCCACCCCACCCACGCCACGCCCCTGATGAGCAGGTGCTGTTAGCACTTGCTCTGCAGGGGCAGAAGAGGCACTCGCACGTCAGCACAGTGCGTTACCCAAAGAGCAGCTTATCTGAAGAAAAGGCGGTAGGCCGGGGCTGGAGGTTGCCATTTGGACCACACTAGTCCAAGCCTTGTGCCTGACACCAAAGCAGGGAAACAACAGTCACGAGTAGGTATGGTCTTATCTTATTACCTGCCCCAGAGCACTGTGGCGTTTGCATCCCTTCAAGGGACTCGAGATACTCCCTCCCCAGCCACTCTGCATAGGTCCTCTTCTCCTCTACTGGCACGATCTCAACAGTGGAATCCTTAAAGATCAAGTTTTTTCCTTGAAAAGTTGAAGAATCAAACATTTTGAATCCATTTCCATTGCTGCTGTTTCCAAAGTAGACCTGAAAACAACGCATCATGTTCAGCATTTTGCAAGCTGAAGTGCCACATTCCTCTCACACAACGTGACAGGCGACAGGGACCGCTTTGGAGACTGAGTCCACGTACAGTTGCGGAGCCTCTACTACACATTCGCTCTTAGACACTCCCACAGATGAGATACGGAATTCTGCCACCAGCAATGACAAGAACACCATTTGTGATTTTGGTTTTTTGAGTTTCTATCTGGAAAGAGCTGTGGTTTTCAAAAATTACTCTGTCTCTATATTGTTGTGTAATATAGGGTCTGGCTGCACAGGGGTTACAGACAGGACTGACGCCCAGCATGGAGACACCCATGCTGCTTTTAAACTGGTTCACTTCAGGGCTGAGAGGAACCTAGTCGCGGCAGCCGCACAAGGTCTGCCCACGTGGTTTACCTCCTACGTAGGTTGCTGCCGCATAAATACAACCGGCAACGATCCCTAGGAAAATCCGGAATGGAAAAACGTTAGGATGAAAGCAGTGGCTGGGCAAAAGGCTGAAATCCCTCGTGCACCAGGGTGGTTTCACAAGAATTACACGTGTTGTATGTTACCTCCTCCACCCCACTCCAACAACAGGGCTCTGCACAGGGCACGTGCTGCGGGGAACGTAACATGGCAGTAGGGTCCTGTGGCCTTCATCCCTGGTCCTTGTTAGACCACGCGGAACGCTCCCATAAAATAAACAGGTATTAGTACCTGGGCTTTGTCCAGGAGTCCATACAGAGCAAAAACGTTGGTGTCTGGATGAACCATAACGGCCTGAGCCGGGACCTGAGCCAGGTGACACTCGGCAAACTGGGTGACTTCAGCACGGGCACCATTTGGACACAGCAACTGGAAGTCACTGGAATTCAAGTTCTGGGCCCAACTATCAGTATTTTTACCTGAAAAAGAAAGTGGTCGTTGTCACTCACTGAATGCTCTGGACCAAAAAGGGGCAAGAAAAACAGCTGAGTAGGTGAACAAAGAGATATGTCAAACTGAGTACCATCCGTGTTCTCGAACACTGTCGAGTGCTTGACAAAGGCCACGTCCCCAGAGTCCTCTGCCAGGCACCTTTGGGAAATGAGATGAAAATTCCATTCAAAGCATCTTTATACAGACCACATTTTTTCTAATAATTGACACATTTAGAACTCACTTTTTCTTATATACATCCCTGCAAACAAAAGCACTGGACCCTAAACCAACAAGCAAAAGCAGAGAGAGAAAGCATCTTGAAAGGAGAGAAACATCTTTGTAAGGTATTAAAAAATAGTCTGAATTAAGAATTTTAAGAAAGGAATAGAGGACTTTTTTTAACTAAAAGCAGCCAGAAAAAGACATAAATAGGTCAATATTAGATGAGCAAAGAAACAGAAAATGTGAGACTCAGTGAAGTATTCCTCATCTACTGACAGCAGCTTTCAGTCCTGTTTCAAAACGGTGGGCAAAGCAGGTCATCCAGACTTTACACGCAGAGCTCCTCCTTGTTCTGACAGGCTGGCAGCGGAACAGCCGCACGGAGTCGTTACCTGAAGGCTCCACTGTAGCTGTAATAACGCTCCTGGCTGCTTGCACTGCATTTGTGGTTCCCACTGTCATCTCCAACACACAGCTGACAGAGCTTCGATGGGTAGCTGTCCAGCTTAGCCGAGGGCACACAGCTGGCAGAGAAAAACTCACTCACAGCTGGGGAGAGACAGACAAGCCGACAGGATGAGTGAAAAGCGCGAGAGGGAGTTACGCTGTCGTGGTTAGAACCGATGCAGTATAACTCCTGAAACATGAGACACAGCTGCCTGACGGGAATTCACAAACTACAGCTTTCTAAATATCGTCAAAGCACAATTTAACTGATTATGTAATGAAACCAAAGAGCTTCCTGGGAGACAGGAAATAGCCAGCAAGATTTGAATCTGGAGTCCTAGGTCATAGATCTTTTGCTGCTTGAGCAATGTTGCTCCATCACCCAATACAGTTTGAAAATGAATGCAGTAAAATTCAGGACAGGGATACATTTAGGGCAATGACATCAGGAGCTGGAAGTACCGCCCCGGGGGGATACGTACAGACTGTCTGTACAGACAGGGAGTGTCCGTGGCTGTTCTGTTACCGCGATCTGACATGGGTCAATGTCCTCAAGCAAGAGCTGAGACAGACAGGTGTGAAAGCAGGATCCTCAAGACCACATGATAAGCTTTAAGTTGATTAAATACAAAAAGTAATGGGCTCTTTTAAATGCATTTCTGAAAACTGGAATACACTTCTGCAGTTGGATACACTGGAGGCCAAGGCTGCCATGGAGACAGGACTGGACAGGCTGGAGAAACAGGCTGACAGGAACCTCAAAGTTAAAGGTGAATGCAGAATCCTGCTTTTAGGGTAAAATAAGACCATGGAAGGCTGGGGACTGGCAGGCTGAAAAGTAGCTCTGTAAATAAAGGACCTGAGGATGCTGGTGGACAAGCAGCTGACTAAGACACTGCAGCTTTTGTGTCTAAAGGCTAACGGCATACTGGTTGTGTCAGTGGAGCACACTGGGAGAGGATTATTCTCCTCTGCAATCTGTGGCACCTTCCAAGATCCCAGCGTCAGAAAATACGGTGGAAGGAAAGTAGGATGCTCAGAGGGCTGGAGCACAGGACCCAGGCCGAGAGCTGGGCTTGGTGAGCCTGGAGATACAACTAACAGCGTATTGCTGTCTTCGTTTACAGCATGGGTTTCTCAAGACGACAGAGTCAGATCCTTCTCAGAGATGCAGAGTAAAAGGGTGAGAAGCAACAGACCAAACTGACAAGGAAGAAAATTTCAATTAGATAGAAGAAAAAAATTCTTTACACTGGTCAAAACCAGGACAGGGGTCCACAGCAAGGTTGTGTGTAACCTCCATCCTAGGAGTTACTCAAAACCTGCCTGCACATGGCCCTGGGCAATCTGACCTAACCAGACTTGCTCTGAGCAGCTGGTTGTACTAGATGACCTCCACAGGTCCCTTGAACCTAAGTTGGCCAATGATTTTGTGATAAAGGAGAGAGGGAAAGGGGTAGTTTTGTGTTAGATGTAACATCCTCCGTGTGACCCTTCCATTAGTCTACGCTGGTGACCAACTTAGAATTGTTACATTAAAAACATAACCCCCCTTCACAAAGAGATAAGCTTAATACAGAGCTATGAAATATCAAAATTACTTCCCTAATAAAAGTTTATCCTTAGACTGTTACTCTGGTTTTAGTATGTAGTGTTGTTGTCTCACCTTGAGGAATATCACAGTCTCTGGTCTTAATAATGCCCCTCTTAATCAGAATACCAATGGGGATATTCCATCCGGCGTTTCTCCCCAGCCCTGTGTGGCAGGACTTCTTCCCTTTCAGATCACTGATGGTGAAGGCATTGGACAGATTTCGTTTCACCAGTGCCACAGCATAGTATGCATTGCTGTTGTCATCGGCTTGCAGAAAACAAACAAAATGCATTACAGCTTCCCTTAAGCATTCCCAGTGCTTCATGATCACCTACAGATCTGGTACACTGCCAACTGCACCAACAATCAGCCAGTCAGGGATTAACATGTACGTGCAATTATCCTTCACTTCTCCTTCACACTGCCTTCCCTTACAGCCTGCACGCTCGCACCGAGCAACCCGGAGATGAATGTGAAAGTGCCCATGTTAACGCCAGCTCTTCAAAATGCAGCCCTCCGAAACCCAACATCTGGGCCAGCAGCAACTGGGCAAAACTGCTTTAAGACGCTGGTTTTGTAGGAAAACTCAGCCCTGTATTAAAATTCCCATGAGGCATGCAGCACACCGAGATTCGCCCTTAGTGACCAAACACCCACAAGTCCCATTTTCACTCGTGACTCTGAAGCAGCCACACAGACAGGAAGAATTTGTTTCTAATTACAGTCTCCTGTGTAATTTCTGTGCCTTTGCTTATGTTAAAAACGGTTTGGTTTTGTAAATACTGGGTTTTTTCCATTGTAAATATTTTTGCAGAATTGAAAAGACAAATAAAGAGGTACAGGACTCAAAACTGCCAAAGAGTCAACACGGTCCTGCAGCAGGGGTGGGTGGAAGCTGCCACAATCTCACTGTAGGAACCCACCACATGCTTATTTCCTCCTCTACCTATGACGTGAGGATAATAATGCTCATTTCCTTTGAAAACAACTTTCCCAGCAGGGCTAGGGAACAGAGGCTGTGCTTTTAGAGCTGTTTTCAAACAACCTGGAAAAATAAGGTCTATATTTATGTTTCCTGAGCTCCTTACCAGAGTAACTTTCTCCAGCAGCTGGTACAAGGCCGTACGTCTTTCCAGCTGTGTAAATATCATCTCCACCCAGAACTACAGCATCACTTTCCTTTTTCTGAAAAATAAAACTTAGGATTTCTGTGAAAAACCAGCAGATAGCTTCCCCACTAGAGTGACAGCATTGTATGCCTGCTACGGTGACAGCTCCAGCATCATACCTGTCGCATCTCAAAGGGCAAGTCTGACAGCAAAAGAGCAATACACTGCTAAAGAAAACCCCCAAAACCTGCGTAAAGCAGGGGACAGGAGATTTCCCACATACAGGCTGGTGATGAGGGCACTGTTGCCCATCTAGCTCAAGTGAGTATCATCAGGGTTCAGGCCCATCCATGCCGTGCAAG